TCAAGGGAAGTCTGGAGGAGAAGGCAAAAGAAATGATGCTACGCGTCTTTGAGCCGCATCTCGACCTATACCTGCAAGAGGAGCTCGACTTCTTCACGCAGCACGCCGAATCAGAGGTGGCAGAGTGGGAGAAGAAGCTGTCGGAGCAAGACGCCTCGGTCGAGTCGTTCTACATGAGCAACTTCAACAGGCAAGCGGATAAGAAGGACTTTTTGAGTTCATTCAAAAAGGTCGTCATGATGCCGGTCACTGTGCTGCCCTCATTTGGAACCTCGACGAAACCCGTGACGCCAAACGGCACTGCTGCTCTTTCACCAGAACCATCGAGGCCGCATACGCCCAGCCTGGCTCCCGGCGTAGATGGGAACGGACGGCTGAGTCCACTGCCTGAGAAGGCACCGACTGACGAATTGGCGGCCAAGGCAGCCCTAATGGCGTCGCGCATGGAGGGTATCAAGACACTCTTCAGTATCGAAGTGGCCCTCAACCTGACCCACGTCGCCAAGACGAGCATGGCGCGGGCATCTAGCTTCATCAAGCTGGGAGGCCAATATGGCGAAGAGGCGCGGGAACAGTGCGAGACGATATTCGTGGTAATGCTTCGCATCCTAGGAAACAGGCACGTCAAGCCTGGCTTTGACAAGGCCGTGGACCACCTCTCGCACTACAACCCCCGAGAAGTCAGCGACCACAACCAGTCCGGCGTGGCGCCCCTGGTAACCTTTATCGAGCTCGTCAACGTGGGTGACCTCATCTCCCAGATGATTGACGTCTTCTTTGAGCAGCAGCTCGCGGGACCCAAGATTGCCGACAAGAACGACTTTCTCGACCCGTCGGGCATCGCCAAGAAGAAGTGGGAGCAGATGCTCGACGAGAGCGTCGCGGCGGGGCTGAACAAGGGCATTGACGTGCTCATGGACGAGGTCGAGTACCTCCACGGCACGACGCAGCAGCCGACGGACTACAACCCGACCGAGACGGGCGGCATTCTCGCGGACCCGGGCCCGACGCCGACGGCGCAGCGCATCAAGGAGCTCGTCTCGGCGCACACGCGCATGCTGGTCGGCAGCACCGACAAGTCCATGCTCGACGTCTTCAACGGCGAGGTCGGCCTGCGCCTCTTCACGGCCGTGTGCAAGCACCTCAAGCGCCAGCGCGTCAGCACCGAGGGCGCCATCAAGCTCATCGCCGACATGAACCTCTACTTTGAGTATATTCGCACCCTCAAGAACCAGGACCTGTTGGCGTATTTCAAGGCGCTGAGGGAGCTGAGCCAGATTTACCTCATCGACCCGCGTCACGCAAAGGAGATGGCCACCATCATTGCCGACGGAGACCGCTTCGAAGGCGTGTTCCGTGCCGAAGAGGCCTACGAATTCGCCCAGCGCCGGGCGGATTGGTATCAGGTCAGGAAAGATGTCGAGAGGGCCATGTACGGGATGGAGTGCTCGTTGATGTGAAAAGTTCCTAAAGAAAGAGAGCCAAGAAACTGGACGATGCTAATGATGAGCAAAAAAGGAAGAGCCTTGATGTTTTGTGGAGTACGAAAACTAGATCTTCCCAGAACCGTTGGGAAGAAAAGCCCCTTTAAATAGCCTGTCCTATCCTTAAAAGAATATACCCCCCGTCCCTTAACCCGTTTGCCTCTGCCATAACGCCCGTGATGCTACATACTTTTTTGTTTGCGAGTGTGGAAAGAATTCGTAAAACCATGTGGAAGTGCAGATTTAAGCTCCAAAGTTGAGCTTGCGAGCCACCTTGGCACCCCTATCCTCATCAACCATGCCTGGACGTCGCTTCAGGTCCGCGCCCATCTTTTCTTCGCCGCCGCCTTTCTTGGGGAGGTCCTCCTTGCGTGAAGGTTTCGGCTCTGTGCGCCACCAGTTGTGGTTCAGCATGTCTCGTGCGGTAATGCGCTTCTTGGGATCGAGAATGAATGTCTTCATTAGGAGATCGACACCCTCAGGACCCACGGTGCCGAACATGGCCTGGTAGAAATCCCTGCCCTTGACGGGCTCGGCATCATCTGGCACCGTGTAGGCTGGAAGCTTGGTCACTCCGGGCCAATTATCCTCCGTCGGTGTACCGACGGCACGGCAAATGAGGGAAATCTGTTGAACCTCGGTCTCGGACGGCATGTACGGCGCACGAATAATGAGTTCCGCGAAAACGCATCCAACACTCCAGACATCGACGGCGCCGCTGTAGTGCTTCGCACCAAAGAGCAATTCAGGCGGGCGGTACCAGCGCGTGATAACCTGGTTCGTCATGACCTGGTACGGGTCCGCAAAGCTCCGCGCAAGACCGAAATCGGCAAGCTTCACCTCGCCGTCGGCGGCGATCAGCAAATTGTTGGGCTTGATATCGCGATGCAGGACAAAGTTTTCGTGGCAGAACCAGACGCCGCGGGTGAGCATGCCCATCCAGGCCTTGATATCTGCGGCACCGTAGCGGACGTTTGCCGTGTCCTTGATGAGCATCTCGAGGTCACCCAAGGGCAGGTATTCGAGGACAAGGTTGAGGTTCTGGTCCTTGGAGGAGAAGACGGAGAGGAGGGAGATGATGTTAGGGTGCTGGAGCTCTTGAAGGTGCTTCAGTTCGCGGACGGCGTCGGGTGCCATGCCTTCTTGGTATTCTTTCTGGACCTTGATCTTCTTGATGGCGACGAGGGAGGATGTATTCGATCGGAGGTGGCCGAGGAAGACGATGGCGTAGGTACCTTCTCCGAGTTTCTTTCCTGTAGGTAGAGCTTATCAGAGAGGTCCATTTCTATCGCGCCATCTCGTCCGTTCGTGATCCCTCTACTAACCTTTCACATATTGCTTCTTCTCGACCTCGTTCATTTGCTCGGCGAGATCCAGAGTCGGGGCTGTCGTCGGGATGGGCGCGGCCTTCTTGTCCTTAGATGGCTGCGGGGTGCCATTTCCTGAGGAAACCTGAGCCGATGACAAATTACGGAATGGCGAGCCGACAGCCCCCGCTGGCTTCAACGCGTCGGCGGGACGGACGACGAGTGGTGATGCCGACATCGTGTACGGCCGTGACTGATGTCGCCGCAATGTAGTCTTGGAGTTGATGGAGGGACGAGGCGACGGCTGAAGTCAGTAGGCAATAGTAGCCTCGTCGGACGCACCGGATGATGATTGGCTGTAGGTGCCACAGCTAGGATCAAGCCACATATCGGAAGGTACGCCCCTCCCGGGCTTAAAACCGGGGCCGATTGGTTGGTTGATTCTGGTTTTGCATCACTATGCTTTTTGCGGCAGCATTCGCGACTCGACCCTGAAGCTCTGTGTGTGCATTTCGACTGAGTTGGATTGCAGCAGACTTCGGATGACAGAAGGCAAGTATGTTAGCCGGAGGAAACCTCCACAATACCAATCAACAGTACCAAAGTCCCTCAAGATCTTCAATGTTCCACCGAACGTCTTAATGCGCAAAACCACATCATTATCCAACATGACCAGATCTAAGTTGGCTGTGTTCTTTCCGCCGTCGTACCTTGCGCTCCTTGCGCCATCATCATACGCGGCGCGACGATCGTTTGAGTTACATGGGCGCTGGGCGCGGAGCGGAATTTACTATGGAGCGGTCCCCGAACCCGCCATATTTCCTAGTGCTGTTGTGTCCGTACGAGCATTTTGTATTGGGGAAGCACCTAGAAATTGCGGCGGTGCAGCAGAACACATGCCCAACTCGGATGGATCCGAGATGGTGGTGTTGTCAGTCGTTGGTTCGCGGACATGGTTGTTCCCCGTCTCTCCGAAAGATGTGGCTGCCAAGGCTGAACATGCACAAATGAGTTCAAGGCTTTCCTTGACCTTCAGGCAGGGTGTTAATGAGAGTTGCCCATCTGTCAGCAACCAATGTAGGTGGTGTGGAAGACTCAGAGAATGAACGTGTGGCCGATTCATTGATTCCATTCTGACCCTGCTTCACCGAATGCAGTACCAGTAACAAGGAAGAAAAAAAGATATAAACTCAAATCAGAGAAACAGCAATTGATCGAATCAGGCGAGCTGGAAGCCCCGATAATTTCCCTCTAGGTAGGCGCTTAATCCGGCCAGACTCGCGGCGAATCGCAAGTTTTGCGATAGCGAAGCTGTGGTCTAAGAGTTTGTTAGCCTGTACCACAGCAGGTAGGGGACCTTACGGTCGGCCGCGCCACTACGTCATCCCCCTGTTGACTTGCACTCCGCGAGACCAATGACATGTTCCCCCCACAACGCGCGCCCCGGCCGGGAAGCTTGCGCACCAAGTGTCCGCTCCAAGTGCCGATCGAATCCATGACTTCAGAACTTTTCGGACTAGGTAGCTTGCAAGGGGGCTACCGAACGATATTGGCTCAATAATACCAGAATCTACTCCTCAGAGTCAGAGAGAAAAAAGAGAGTGCGCCCGACCGCAGCACGCCAGCCCGGACCCATCGGGCAACCAACATACGGGTAACGGGACGCCGATGACACCTCTTAAGTCCGCCTACCCGACCTCCGGGGACACACCTCAGTCCATTCTGCTCTCTTTTCTCCAGGCACCGCCCGATGTTTGACGTACGCAGGCATCTCCCGCGCAACATTCATTAAGGACCCCTCCCGCGCGCTCCCTTTCGCGTATGAGACTTACAACCAACGACATAATACCCACCAAACGTGGTCAGACCTCCTATTCGAGTCCTGGCTTTGTTTTTTTTTTTCACACCTTCAGCCCAAAGTCCCGTGATCCCTTCAGGCTCTGCCACGAACAACGTTTACGATAGTGAACACATGCTTTTTTGGTAAGTGATGCAATTTTGAGTCCACTTTTCCCTTCAATCGTCATACCTCGTCATCACCACTCCCAATTGGCGTCGTGAGCCTGAGTGTAGTACGCCAACCGTACCCTCAGCGAACAGCCTCCTTTGGCTCAACACCATCGTGAATCCTCGGCAACACAAGCTTACGCCCTCACAGAAAGACAAAGTCCCAAACACCAAGGCAGACACATACACACACTTGCCCAACATGAGAATATTATCATACTGGATCTTCCCCATCATATCGGGCCTCGTCTGGCTCGGCATGCTCCTCGGCATGCTCCTCTACTGGATCATCGACACCCACCGCGCAGTCTACCCCTCCATGTCGCCGCCCCAGAGCATCGCCTACATCAGCGACGTCGGCGCCTACTACCTCAAGCCCCTCTTCATCACCGGCTGCGTCCTCACCACCGTCTTCCTCGACCTCTCCTTCTTCTCCGACCGCTGGCTCCGCCACAAGGGCCGCCTCGTGCCCAACACCTCCGTCGGCGAAAAGATCCTCTACGGCTTCACAATCTTCTTCGCCGTCGTCGGCACCGTCGGCCTCATCTGTCTCAGCATCTTCGACACCTACCGGCACAAGAACCTCCACCTGCTCTTCCTGCTCTTCTTCATGGGCGGGTACCTGCTCTCGGCCATCTTTATCTGCTGGGAGTACCAGCGCCTGGGCATCAAGTACCCGGACCACACGTACCTCGCCGCCTCCTTCTGGATCAAGCTCGTCTTCATCCTCGTCGAGATCGTCCTCGCCATCGCGTTTATCGTCTGCAACTTTAAGGAGATTTACAACGCCGCCGCGATCCTTGAGTGGATCGTCGCCTTCATCTTTTCGTTTTACATCTTTTCGTTTACCGTCGACTTGTTGCCCGCATCCAAGACGAGGAATAAGGCGAACCGGTTCTCGAAGCCGGGGATGAGTCAATGGACTGGCGCTGGACCGGGGAACTTTTAAAGAGTGAGGTGTGAAGAGTTATGTGGTAATGGGAATGAAACGGGAAATAGGACACGATTGAAAGAAAAGAGAAGATGGATAATGAATCGGCGGGAGAAGTAATCGCGGGCATGACGAGGCTCGCGTTGTATAAACTGGCATCTGCATACCCAGGGGACAAAGATGATGAACAGCAGGCGTTTTGGGCGTAATCATTTGACGCACATCTTAGAATTACGGGTAGCATTTACAAATCCACTGCATACGTGCGATACAATATCGCCGACCTTCTATTTCCATGTTCAGTGACGCAGTGGAAAGGTCAATTTGCATATTGGCCGCCATGGATCTACTTCCGTACGTACTCATACGTGTCCCTTTCATCCCATCTCAATATCGAACGAGAGGATAGTCTAGAAGCTTCAAGCGCAGAGCACAGACAGGAAGCTGCTCGTACGCCATGATCAGCTTGAAGCCCGCTAGACGACAACATTATAGGCTAGATACGACCGTTGCTGAGTAGCCTTACATTTGAGATGTTAGAACCTTTATAACTGTGCGCCATGGCGCCTTCAAAGATGATTTTCGTTGATTTGACGTAAAGTACTATAAATGCTGACAAACATACCACAATCGGAAAGCGATGTTATATCTGGATGTTAGAGATGCCTCAACCAAAAATGCACTCCAAAGCTCCTCGCTATAAACCCCTTTCCCACCCTCTGCTAAACTGAAGTGTACCTCAACGGTAAGTAAGTTCCATCCATAAACGCCATCACTTCTAAATGAAGGAATGGCCGTTCGTTACCGAAAGTACCAATCTATCTCAATCTATTCAAGATTCTCTCGGAACCGCGAATCCCTAGTCGGGCTGTGCGTCTTGTGCATATTCGGATCCCGAATAGCAGCCGGCGGCGAGACGGGGCCCTCGAGCTCATCGCTCGCCTCGACAAAGTGCTCCGACTCGGAATCAGAGCTCACGGGGCTCACCTCACCCTCCTGCGCCGCTGCCGACCTGGGCGTCGTCTCGCTAGTCTTGCCGGCGATGGCTACCTCTCTCATACTAGCCGACCGCGCATCACCGAGACTGGTCGCGCTCTCGTTGGCGAGCCTCGCCAGCGCAACGCCGCCGACGAAGCCACGCTCCTCAGCATTCTCGCCGGCCGCAGACCGGCCTCGCGGCCGTCCGAAGCGTGACTTGAGCCAAGTCTTCATCTTGTTCGTCGGCGAACCGCTGTCGCTGGGCGAGCGTGGGTTATCGCTGCCGGAGCTCTCCCTGTTCGTGTTGATGGCCCCGGGCTTGTGCTGGCCTGCGTGGGTGGTGCCCTGGTCGTCGCTCACGGGTGAGATTTCGCTGGGCTCTGCCGCGGCGACGGCCGAGTCGCCCGGCGTGATCTCGGGGAGCTTGGACTTGCGCTTCTCCTCAGCCTTGGCAGCCTTTTCCTCTTCCTTCTTGACCTTGAGCTCTTGCTTCTCACGGTGGCGCTTCTCCTTTTCTTCCTGCTTCTCTTGCGCTGTGATTACGTTAGAGGCAGTTTGATGCGCAGAAGGGAACACGCAAACGTACCAATGACCTTACGGTTGATCTCCTTAACTTCTCTGTCACGTTCCTTGCGCTTCTCTTCGTCTCTCTTCTTGGCTTCCGCCTCTGCTTTGAGCATCTCTTGCCGTTCCCGCTCGATGGCTGCCTTCTCATTGATCTCGTCAAGCACGGGCTGGACTCTCCTCGTAGCAATCTCGTCGACTGCCGCAGGATCCATAAACATGCCGCCGCCAATGTCAACCTTACCCCTATTCACATTGGCAGACTCGTGCTTAGCCATGGCAGCCATCTGAGCCTTGGATTCCCAGTCGCTCTTTCGATCGCTCTTTGAGCTGGGCGCCACCATACCGGTCTCGGCTGAGATCTTGTCGTCCATGCCCTGTAGGCGGGCCTTGACATTGCGCTGGGCGGCTGCTAGTAGGGCCTCGCGATCCTTTGTCCGCTTTTGCTCGTCGACCTTGGTCAAGTTGGAGGAGAAGATGGACATTTCTCTTCGAATACGCTCAGATTGTTCCTTGTCGTGACTTGCGTCGCCGTCGCTTGAGGACCGCCGTCTAAGCTTACCCTTCATAGTAAACCTCCGCTGAGGCGTGGTCTGGGTATTGCTGCCGTAGTATTCCTGGTAGTCACGGTTCTGGTGATGCTCCACATGAAGTTTCGACAAGCGCTCTTGCGCTAGCTTGTATGCCGCTTCCTGGAGGTTGACATAAGGTTTGGGTTGGATATCGTCGGGGCTGGTCTCTCCTGCAGCTTGGTGGACTCGTGCCTGGTCGACCATCCTTTGCTGTTGGCTGTACATCTTTTTGGCCATGGCCACCGCAGAGGCGTGGAGAACGTCGGCTCTTTTCTTCTCATCTTCTTCAGGCCCGATAGCGGGCTTTGAGGTGAACATACTCCGAGGCAGGTTTGTGTACGGAACTGAGCCAGTGTTCTCAGTGGGGGACTTTGGCTTCAAAGAAGGGCTGTGAGCTGCTGTGGCGGCACTCAAAGCGTTTGCAGCAGCTCGTGATTCTCCGGGGTAGGATTCCTTTGGTACGGGGGTCGATTTGGCTCGTGGCCTTGTCCTCCTGGAGGCGGGCATGGCATTTTGGGCTGCTGAAAGAGAGCCAAGGCCGGCAGCGGCGGAAGCGGGTGTCTGGGTGGGCTGTCTGACTGAGCGGCTTTGTCTAAATGCCTGGTTCGCAGCGCTGCTTCCCCAAGACTCGGTAGCAGACGGAGGAGGGGTCGTGTTGGTGGTGGACTGTTTCTTTGCTGAAGCGCTGGCCAGCAGAGCAGCCTTGGCCCCGGCAGAGCTGGAGTTTGGTTCCCACGATGGTGTCATTTTGTAATCCTTTGCGAGCATAGCTGCGGTTGATGCAGAGTTTGACTTTTCGGGTTTCCAGAGGTCGATTGATTTTTGGTTGGCCCAACCTAACGATGCAGCAGCTCCGGCAGCAGCTCCATCGGATTTGAGACCGGGGGATGGAAAGCTGGGTAGATCCCGCGGGTCGGCGTACTTTAATCTTCCCGAGTGGGCTGCTATATTCAGGGAAAAGAAGAATTGATGATTAACACGGATGCTTTCTTTATTCGGGCAACTCCAAGTAGAAACCTCGTATTCTGCAGGAGAGGATGAGGTAAGGTTTCAAGTTACCTGTGGAGGGTACCTGGTACCGTGTTTCCGCCATGCCTGTGCTTGACTTTTGCTGCTGCTGCTGCGGCTGCATCTGCTGCGTCTGTTGCGTCGCTGTCTTGGAGGAGCTGGCTTGCATCATTGCCAGCCCGGAGCCGGCTTGGTGGTATCGATCCCGGGAATATCCACTTAACCGCTGCGGATGCCTGTTCGTCACAAGGCGGATATACCGTAGCGAGGATGTATAATACAGGGAACGGAAGGTCGAAAAGTGGGAAGGCTCGCAGCGGATTTGCGGCTTACACGCGGGTTGAGGTGGACGCGTGGGCAACGCCGCTGGTGGATTGACAACCGAAAGTCGAAGTCCGACTGATGTTATTTCTGGACCTAATTACCCTTCCACGAGTGTCGCAAGAGGAAGTCGTATCACAAGATGAGATGAGTCGTCGTACTAGGGTATATTGCGAGAAGGATGCGCCGAAAACCGGGAGGTCAGGGAGCTTGGATGCTTGCTTGGGTAAACCAAAGAGCAGAAAAATTGACCAGGAGCGACGTCGAGGCGCAGGCGGGGGGTCCCGACAGAGGGCATGCAAGTTATATCATACAGCTAGAAGCAGATCTTTCTGGTTCAAAAGGGGGCACTTGGGTAGGGGGGCGTGGGCTGGTGGGAAGACTCCTCGTCTAAGGTAGACTGGCGGCGCGGCGCGGGCGAGCGAGCGAGCGCACGATGAGGTAGTAGGTATTGCTTTCCCCCCAAAAACTGGTGAGCGGGAGCCGGTCAATGATGGTGATACGGCGTACGCAGTTAGTGCTGGTGGCTAGTCATAGTGAGCTGCGACGACAGCAGCGCCTTACGTCATGCGGGGTCCCTTCCCTTCCGTTTCGGGCGTAGCAACCTGCCATCTAGCACTTCTGCCCCTGTCAAACATCCACCACACCTCCCCTCCCCAGCTCTTTGAATTGGGAATTGGGGATTCCATTTCCCTTTGCGAACGACCGAATGACCAGGTCCTGAGAGATATTGGCAAACAAACGCACCACTGGGCCACTGGCACCACTGCGACATAGCATGCAAGCCAGCATGGCCCATCGTCCGCTCCGTTGTGGCTTCGGTCCAGCACCCGCCCGTCTCTGGAGCCGGCCAGTCCGGACCCTGTCGCGCTGAGTGGCGGATCGGGTTCCAGCCTTTGGATTGGGCAATGCCACCATTCAGGTCTGGAGCGTGAGCTATCTAGGGTCTAGGCCATCACCTGTGACCTGGATCACCGAGCAGATAGAGCCTAGCCCTGTGGTGTGTCAGTTGCCCATAATCGGATCTACCTCTACACCTTTCACCGACTTGGAAGCCCGAGATACCGTCCGTGACGAAGACGATAAGAGGGCGGCCAGGAGACTCCCGTCCGTAGTCAAAGACAGGCACGGGGTCCTAGGCCGATAGAAAAACAAAGCCATCGAGCAGCCCGAGATTCAGAAGTCTGTTATGCAAGCTCTTGGGAGGCTTGCTGTCTCGCTCGAGCCTTCTGATTCGTTTGATGGAATGGACTACACAGTCAGCCACATCTCGGATTGTTGATGGCTGCGTTCTGCAAGCCTCTGCAGGCTGAAGTAATTCCCACATTTAGCTTCAACTTGAGACGTCGATTCTCCCATCTAGCGCAGGCAGCCCATATTCATCCGATATCATGGAAAGCAAGCTGTAATCCGAAAGTCTAGAAATTGCTGGTCACGTTGCTGTGGCTCTGATGGACCGGAAACATTGCATGGGAGCAGCAAGAAGACCGAGCTCTCTCTTCTGGACTTCACAGCCCAGACCGCTCACAATGCGCGAGTTCAGGCCATGGTCGCAATCCCTGGGCGCAGATCACTCACTCTCATAATTTACCCATCGGTGACATCAAAAGTCAGTCTCCTTCTCTCTCGCACCCCGATCTTAAGCTTTTTGGAGACGTGCAGGGATCTACCAGCCCTGGCCAGGGATCCCAGCACGTCCAACCTCACCTCGGCTCCCTATCCGTCATGAGGTTGGCGGGCTGGGAGCCTGATGGTGAATGACGGTAACGATGGGAATAGGGCTCTACGTCGCTTACACGTTTCCCATTCCGATGCTCCGAGTTTCTGTTCGACGTGCCAAATCGTGGCGTCAGCCACCCCTTTCCTACACATTTCACACCAAGAGCTGCTTGCTACCTTACCACACACACACACACACACACACACTATCACACCCACCACGCCTTGCCAACCATCCTTCCAGTTGTCTGTACCGATACGCGCCGTCGGAACTGCTAGTCTCCAGCCGTTAACCGCTGACTACCGGTATCTGCAGCGAGCGCTCTCTCTACACCGAACTCATTCAGAAGCTTTGACATTGTCAATCATGGATAATAGGGGGATCACGTCTGTCCTCAACTTTCGTGATGTCGGCTCAACGGTGAACAAATTTCTTGGAAGAAGGTATGTCATTTTCTGGCTAATCTACCCTTACCTGCACTGAACAGAAGCCTTTGTAGTGAGTTGAGGCTAACATCCGTGCGTTTTGCTTGTCAGACTCGTAAGGGAAGGCTTGGTATTTCGTTCCGCCAGACCAGGTATGCCACGCGACTCACAATCTTCGCAAACATGTTGATCCTCGGTGCTGATTTTCTCCAAGATGATGCCACTTTGGCAGACAGAAAACGCCTCCGCGATGAGCTGGGCATCAAGGCGGTGATAGACCTGCGCACAAAGTAAGTGCACGTGTTTCCGTCCTTCAGAACATAGAAAGACAGAAAAAATCTTCCTTTCTCTGGAATGCAAGATCTTGCACTCTGACCAGTGAGTGACGACACCTTTCAGAACCGAACACGTCAAACAGGCCAAAAAGCGCGAGGCCGATCTTAAAGTGCCCACCCTTCTGGAGTCCAATGCTGCACTAGCCGAGCCATTCCAGATCTCGGGTCTGACGTATCACGAGATCAGAATCACTGGCGGCAACTTTGAGTGGTTCTTGATCAGACAGGTATCTTGGTGGGGTTTGTGGTGAGATGTCCCTGGCTTCCTATTCCATATCCCCCACAGCAGCTGATTCGGCATACGCAAACTTTAGCCGCCTCATCTGTCTCTTTACTCTCGGCTATCGCAATGAGGGCATCTCCATCTTGTCTCGGGAGGTCATGCTGCCGCGTGGCCTAGTTGGTCTAGGCCTTGACACCCTCGATCAATCTGGTGAGGAGATTGCAAAGGTACGAATATACCACTCGCTGGCAGCTTGGTGCGGGTACAGATATCTAACGAGCTTTCATGCGCAGGCTCTCAGGGTATTCATCGACCCGGCAACTTCACCGACTCTGGTCCACTGCACACAGGGCAAGGATAGAACCGGGCTGATTGTCAGTCTCGTTCTGTTCATCCTGGATGTACCGCTCGAGGCGATTGAGCATGACTACATGCTAACCAGTGGTGCGCTCGAGTCTGAGAGAGAGGAGAGACTGGCCGAGATGAGAGAGATTGGTCTCACAGACGACTGGTTCGAGACGGCGCCTGACATGATTGCTCGGACGGCTCGTCATCTCGACGATGTCCATGGTGGGCTCAACGAATATCTGGACAAGATCGGGTTTGGCCAAGCCGATCGCCTGAAGCTTCGGGAGCTGCTGTTGTACTGATTCAAGGACTGGAGGGGGCTTGTTTCGTCACCCAAGCTCCGTACAGCAATACAATAGCTCATTGGCAAACCTCACTCGCCTCAGCTTTCGATTGATGTGAACTTTGGCTTTCTCATTTCTTGGTGAATCGTCCTTGCATCCAGCATCGGTACATCTTGAGCTTACGAGCCCTGTTGACGAGCATGCGTCTGTCGACACCAAGGTCATCGACGTTGAATTCGAACTTGGTGTCGTTGTCCAACGCTTCTTGCGTCTGGCCAGACCAGATTCGCTCAAGCTCTTCCTTTTCAAAGAAGTACACTCGAGTGCCGTCGCCGCGCACATAAAAGTTTTCATCGAGATAGCGTCCCTTCTTGAAGCGCACTTGGGCAAGGTCACCTCTTCCATAGTCGCGGAAGCAGACCTGGCCACCCGGCTTGAGCAGACGGTGGACGTTGGCAACAGCTTGGTTCCATTGATTCGGAGCCAAGGCGGAGAAGATGAAAATGAGTATAGCAACGTCCACAGATCCTTCTTCCAGTCCGGGAGGGAGCTCTTCGCTCGTAACGTCCCAGACGTCGGCTTGCATGTGGTCTTGGTTGTAGGATTCATGGGTCCGCATGACCTCTACGGCCTGCTTCGAATAATCACAGGCATGGACTCTCAAGTTTGGGTTCTTGTTGGTTGCGAGAATGGGAAAGGCGGTGTTACCCGCACCGGCGCCTATTTCAAGAATCGTCTTCTTGCCAGCGTCCTCCTTGGTCACCTCGGACAAAATAGGGAACTCCTGCTGCAGCCATTTTCTGTTTTTGAAGAAGTTGGCTGTGTTGTTCTTATAGAACAAGTCCCACATTCTGGCTGGGTTGTTGTTCAATCTGTCTGAGGAGTCTTGTTAGCAAGCTGTATCAAAGCAAGCGTCTTTCAAAATAATTGGTATTGATAGTGGTGTAGTCAGATGGGAGCGAAAGACTAATTAAGGAAAGTTTCATCATAGAATTCAGATGAACTATGCGTATTGCTGGGGTATCATCATAACACCGGGGGATCGAAAAAAATGAAATGCAAGGAATGTAAACTTACTTTTGTCAAAGTCGGAGACCGGAGACTGACGCTGCATCTCGTACTGCTGCTCAGAGTACTCCTTGTACACTTCGTCAGTCTCGACATGGTCCCAAGCATTGAACTCGAAGACATCATCCTGTTCGCCCAGCAAGCGACTGCCAAACTGGAAAGGATCGCTCCTCTTCTGGTTGAATTGAGGATCATGCGACCTGTGAGCCGCAGGCTCTTCCTCGGTTGCAGGCTTGGAGATCTGGAGCTCTGCCGCCTTCTCGACGAGAACTTGCTCGTCCGCCCCAGCGTTCTCAGACGCAAGAGACGTCATCTCACTAGTGTGAAGCCGAGACGAACTTTTCGACGGTGTTCACAGCCGGTTTCTGTGTGGGCAGCAGCCTGACTCTCCAAAGTCCCAAGTGTTGGTTAGGAATGAAAGAGTGGTTGAGATAAAGAAGCTTTTGGAAATTTTCTCGCGTGTCGAACTTTTTGTCTCTGAAAAAAAAAAAGTCGTGGTGGGACCCGACCTTCGGGGCGATGAAGAGCCGCCAGCCGATGCGACCAATGCCCGATTGTGATAGACCCACTCACCGCAACCACCATTGTCAGGCGCCAGGTGCCAGGTGCAGAACGTATTGGGGAAGGAGCTCAGAATCGGTACGTACCTGAGCTAGGTTCGCGGATTGCGACTGCCTCCCATGCCTCCCGTTAGGTACAGCCCGGCCAACTTAGATAATCCTCAATTAACATTTACCCATTGACGACACCTGATCGCGCAGCCCCCATCATCTGCCTGTTGTTGATCCACGTCTCGTCCGATCGATACGCAAACCGGTAGACCTGACCGCGATAATGGCTCCTTCGCTCATCCGCCCCCAGGGCCACCTGTCCCCAGCCGAGGCCCTCGAGCTTGCCCAGAAAGCACCTACGATTCTACGAAACAATCCGACAGCGTTCTCATCGTCCCCCCTTCTTTCGCTTTTCTCGGCCTCGGAGACGCCCGAGATATGGACCATCTACGAGAACCTCCTTCTGGCCTGCCTGCGAACGGGCGACAGCCAGGCAGCACACCAGTGCCTCGAGAGGCTGGTGATCCGATTCGGGAATGAAAACGAGCGCATCATGGCATTCAAGGGTTTGGTGAAGGAGGCGGAAGCTGATAATGATGGAGAACTTGCACAGGTACTCAAGGAGTACGAGACAATACTAGGACAGAACGCGACAAACATTGTCAGTTGCTCCTCTGCCATAGTGTCACGGCAAACGCTGACCTTGACAGCCTGTTGCGAAACGTCGCGTCGCCCTTCTGAAGTCGACAGGAAAGACATCTGAAGCAATTGCGGCCCTCAATGGTCTCGTTGACTTCAACCCTACAGATGCGGAGGCGTGGGCGGAGCTTGCCGACTTGTACCTTTCACAGGGGCTATACTCACAAGCTATATATGCGCTCGAGGAAGTGCTTGTGCTGACCCCGAATGCATGGAACGTGAGTGTCTCGTAGAGTCGACTTCTGATTGTGTTTCCGACTGACCACGACTAGATGCATGCTCGTCTCGGAGAGGTATTGTACATGGCTGCATCGGCCTCTGAAGGCTCTTCACAGCAACAATTGGCGGAATCAGTCAAAAGATTCAGCCGCAGCATCGAACTCTGTGATGATTATCTCCGGGGTTACTACGGACTGAAACTGGTGCGTGCCATAACGCGTGATAATGGACCGGCAATTGGGACTGACATGCTCTTCAGGTTACGAACAAACTTATCAAGGAACCGTCAAAGCCGTCGAGACAATCAGACTCGGAGGACTGGACCCTTCCTGACGTCGGTACGTTACAGAAGCTCAACGAGCTAGCAACGCAAAAGCTGGCCGACATTGTACGCCGCAACGGAGCGCATGAGAGGCTCTGGCAAGGTTACGATGAATCGGAAGTGGCAGCAGCCCGAGATCTGCTCTCGAAGGAGTCAGTGGACCTTGTGAGATGAGCACCGCGTCATCCGAAGACGAAAAGCAAACGACTCTGGATTATCTCATATCGTGACTGCATGGTCACATTAACGGATTGGCATGCCAACGGGCGTGCTTTATGCACATCATATTAGGCGAGCAGCCATCATCGGTACAGGCTGTACGTCGGAATTAGCAAGCAATCGGAACATTCAAATCAAGTAGTTAACGAAGCTGTGCCTGCAACAAAACGTTCACGTGCTACTGGCAATACGCGAGTATCCTTGGCCCGTCGGCCAGCCAATCGCGGACATGTCGCTCAACATTGGAACACGAAGAGACATTCAGCGAACAGCGGATCGTGTCGCTCGGGCGCTATAGTGGCCGCAATCGATGTCGAGACGAAGCTTGGGAGACTCTCTAGCTATTGGGCAGAAACAAAAGCGAGTCTGGCAGTGGGGATGTTTCACAGATAGGCAGAGGCCGCCGCCAATACCGTCGAATGAATTATCTACCGCTCTCTTCTATTGCCTCGAGGTCCATCGATGCCGCCGCGGCCACACCCGTAGTCGTGCCCAATTGTCGCAAACTGACATTCACTAGGTGGCAGAGCTGCATGTCATCCGAGGTTCCAGGCGTGTCGTTGGGAGCCCGATGGGCCAAGGCGGCCCACAAGATGCGCTGGCAGTGAGTCAGTGAGTTGATCCGCGGATGGATCTCAGGCACCGTCATTCGAGACCCTGGCTACCTATGCAGAACAGAGTGCGCCGGCGTCGTGAATTAAGACCCGTCGGGCAACGACGAAGCGGTTTCGGGCTCGAGGGTCGTTGGCAGAATGGACTGACGAAATACACCAGTGCCAATCAAGTTGCGCGGTTGCCTTTGAGGTGTCACTTATATATCCGGGCGGTGCCATGTAAGTAAGCTGAAGGCAAAAAAAACAAGCACTTGTGTCGGTACCAAATTCTTTGACCGCCCCTGTTATCCCCGTATTTTCTCGATTTCTCTGGCGCTTTAGACGACGAAGAGAGAAGAATAAGCTAAAAGTTGAGAGACGCCGACGAGATACCTACCACAGTTCGGACCAGTCATCTGCAGAAGACAAGCATTGTTACACAAACTTTGTTGGTCGGCTCGAAAGATCACCGCCGCCCATTTTTGGTTCCGCCTACGCTTCCAAACCATGTCGTGTATTTCTGAGAAGACTGTTACTCCTCGAATTATCAAGCAACTAGACAAGACCAAGTACCAATCACACGTCGCGGGAGAAACCACCTGAGGATACGGGAGCGCCTGAGAATTTTTCGTCCAACATTGTGAAAGCTACCACTTTCAGTACCGCTGTTGAGATTGTGTCGATGTGTTGTCATGTGAAGCAGGCTGCGTGGTTGATTGCATAGGACTGCTACCGAAGACGACGGGCATGGAACGACAGGGGGTCCAACGATTCAACCGCAGTGGAGACTTCCATCGCTGAAGGTATACTTGGTACCTAGCGCCGTAGAGGGCGGGAGGACGGCTGGGTACGGTACCTTAGGTTGATTATAACCCGGACGTGCGCGGCGCTTTCAGACAGCAACCAACATGGAAGGCCGAGAATTCCAGAGGAGGCTGCGGCGCTTTCCAACGTCGGGTTCAACACAAGGTACCTTGGTTACTCTGTGCTCCGAGAAACGGTGAGAGATTTGGGCGAGTAAGGAGACGTGAGGGTGAGGGTGAGGGGGGGGGGGGGGGGGAAAACGGGACTGGCGGCTCCCGGGTTCCCGGTTCAAAAAAGGCACTGGGAAAAGGGGCTCGTGGGGGGGCGGGTTGGGGGGGGGGGGGGGGGTTTTAAAAGGGAGAAGGGGGGGGGGGGGGGGGGGGGGGGGGGGGGGGGGGGGGGGGGGGGGGGGGCACAGCTGACTGACGGCTGCCTGGATTCCAGTTCATCAAAGTCACTGCGAAGACGAGCTACTGAGAGTGCAGGTTCGGGTGCGGGTGCAGGATATTAAAAGTGAGAAAGGGCAGGTTGAGGTAAAGTGAGGTAAGGTGAGGTAAGGTACGTTCATCCTCGACTTCCTACTGGTCCTCGGAACGGCGCAAGCCAAGTCGATGAGCCCGAATGGCCGGGCATTGGCTTTCGATGGCCCTAAAAGCAGGACGGGATGTTTCTGCACTAGGGATTGCGTACCCAAAGCAGTAGGTAACGAGCCTGTCGACACTTCCAGGTTCCATCTGCATTGTTGACGAGTGGTGATGACCTGCGATGGAGCAGAGAGGCCTCGTCTTCGCCCCCAACCCTCGTTCATCCCTCACACCCGTCCGTCGTCGCCCGTCCATCTGCCCCTCCCTCCCTCCGTCTCTGTTTCCCTCCTTGTTCCGTCATCCAAATAAATAGTTTGCGCCGCCTCATCCAGCCTGCTCACACTCACACATTCTGACCGCCGATTTCTCTGCCCTGCATTTCTGGCTATTTTTCTTGTCGCCGTCCAACGTCCCTCTTTTCTAACACTGCAATTCTCAGCAGCAGCACCAACGGCGTCAAAGGATCCTCGCGCCATTTTCGCAAACGAGACAGACAAAGCATACACTCCGTATTACTTTACTCCAGTACCCTCTCAACCGGCAGCCCCACCAGCATAAACGAACGTCTAAAGAGGTCCGTCCCGCAACGGAGCCACGCTTCGAGCACGTTCCTCACCGAAACATTGAACCACCAAAAAGTAAAAGACATCCACTCTCCCCCGGCCAGAACAGTCCGGCGCAGGACCAGCCCAGGTACGGCGCATTGAGAACTGACAGAGCTGGTACTTTGTAGTCGCCTGTGGGTAGGTGCATTCTCTCGGTACCAAGTCACAGTATCTCCTTTCTTCCTGACCTAATTGCTTTTCCAAGCCTATCCGAACCAACCTCGGGTCGTTCGAACTACCCATCACCCCGCCAAAGAGAGCAACCTAAATTCACACGAAGGAGAAGAGCACCATACGAAATACTCCGCGCTCTGTATCGCCGCATCCCAAAAGAGACGACCCTTTGCGTCTGATCTGCCATCGCCCGTCCCTGTCAGGTCTCAGGTCTCAGGTCCTACCCATCCTTCCTCAAAAAGGTGTCTCAAACCTCACCACACCACCACCACCACCACCACCACCACCAAAAAAGGGGAACCAAGTAAACAAGGTACGTGAAACGTTAGTTACGGTTTCCATCGTTCTTCTGGTCGCGCTTCAACTTTCCTCGCGTCTCTGCAATTCCTCACCATCCCACACCCAACACATTACTCATACCGACGCAAGTGTGTGGTGTTATGTCGTTCTTCATCTGTGTTTCCGTACCTTGACTTAGATTGCAATTCTCCATCTGCATCTTTGTCTGTATCCCCTGTCAAGAAGCTGTCAAGTGCCGGCTACCTGCAGGCGGTCCGCAGGGCAACAAACTATCCGTCACCTCGGCCAGCTGCCGATGTCGATTGTGTTGTTTACTTTACATTTACCCCTCATTCTATTGTCGTCGTTCCCAGTACTGTTACTTGTGATGGTCGTTGTGCCTATCTTGTGGAACTAAGGTACGGACAGCCACCCCAGACAACAATTGCCTTGGAGGCTCAGCCAACTATGTATGGACCAGCTTGTCAGTGGCTGTCTGGACTCATACACAATAGCGTAGAGGAGGGGCAACATCGCAAGTCCATGACACACCCGACATTGATGATTCTATGTACGGCCGACGCAACCCCCGGCCAGCGGAGCAGTGCTCACTGCTGACAGTCATTGAATGACAATCGGCCACCCACTTTATTCTGTTAGTCCATTGGATCTGTCGTCCATGGGCCATGGCCCATCTCCCGGGGCACCCAAGTGGGACAACAAAGCAAGGGGGTCGAGACCGTAGGCCAGCCCAGCACCCAGCAAGGCCAGCACCCATCCCTTCCTCGTGCCCGCCTGGCGCCTCTCTTGGTATTCCCTTCCCTGCCCGTCCCCATACGACGGATGGGACCGATGGGTGCCTTTGGTGCCCCGTCCTCTCTCCCCGTTTTCTCTGCCCGGCGATGGTCACGGCGTTTGCGATGCGAAGATCAGGGCTTCTTCTACTTCTTCTTCTTCTTCGTTCTGGCACCTCGGATCACTGAAGCCTGCCTGCACCAACCACAACTCTTGGTCAATTTGGCTTGTGCCCTGGTTAACGATTCTCTCTCACCTGACTGTTGTCCAAGTCCCTATTACCAGTACTTTCCTTAGCCTGTACGGCCTGAGAGCGGGCTGACAGGATGGGATGGGATGGCGGGGTTGGGTTGGGCTCGCCCTGGCTGGTCGTGGTGACCGCCAGAAGAGCCATTGTGTTTTTTTCTTGGTGTACATTCGCTTCCCCTCCACCCCTCCCTTCTCCATGCCTATTTTATCGTGTCTGTGTCTGTGTGTTCATTCCACATGATTCACCGGAATGTGTGCTGATCTGAGGCTTGTAGCTTAGGTGGTATCAGTACCCCCAAGGTGGTCTAGGTAGTTTGCTACTGCGTACTCCCACAACGCGGCACTACGGACGGATACGCCTTCTAGTCGCTACTCGGTAAAGTACCTAGTGCTTGAAGCCCGAGGACTGGTCCGCTGTGTCGACCGTTGCCCGCTTTTTGGTTTTGCTCTCACCGACAACCCCCGTCTGTCGGCTACCGGATCCCTGAAGACCAACCGCTTAATCAGGCAATTGCGGTGCCCAGCACGAGATTCCCTCTCCTCCCGCTCCGTCCAAAAGTGGGACGGGTTTCTTCCATTTGGCTGGCACCCTCACTTTTTCTCTCGACCTCTCAACCTCTCGACGCAGCAAGGTACTTCTGCTGTGGACATCGCATCGCATATCGCAGCGCAGCGCAGCGCAGAACATCACATCGCATCGCCATCCCAACAGGCTTTCTTCTCTAAGGATCTCTCTTTAGGGCTCAGAGTTGCCAATTCATACCGATTCGTCCAGACCTGGCTGCGCGGCTTAGGTTGTGCATGAGGTGTACTTGGTGCCTACTACACAGCACTCCTTCTTGTACCCCGTACGCCTTGGCTTTGGCCTTGTCTACCTAAAAGGTTGTCTTAAACGGAGCGGTCGACTAGACCCGCAATAGCTGCCCAGCTGCCACAATTTTCCTTGCACCCAATCGCGCTTCTTTTTGCGCCCAACTGCACGATCTCGCCAAATAGCAGGGGGCTTCCCTGGTTACATTCCCAAGCCCACGAACGAATATCCACCCACCGCCGACTGCCGCCCTGCCCACCCCTCAATTTTCGCAAATCGTCCGTCTCGTCTCGTCTCGACTCGTCCTGCAACTCAGTCCTTCGCACAGAAACTTTGTTTTCTTCAAGTCTGCCGCCGCCGTCGCCTCTCTTACCGCTCTACGCTGCTGTCATCTGATCGCTCTGCTTTGCTTTCAATCTTAACCGTCAACCCATCCTATCCTCCCTTTCCTTCTTCCGCCACCAGTTCGTTGCTTGGAATCCACCCACCACCCTTGTGCCAATTGCGCCAGGACGAACGCTGTACCCGACCTACACACCATCACATTCGTGCCCTCGACACCGAATTCCTGTCGGTTTCCCATAGAGGAACCCTGACTTTCGCCCACCCTATTTCATCCCACGTCCTCGCTCGGTTCACCCCTTTGCTCCGACTTTCTTGCGAGATCGTCGTGAGTAAAGGGTCTTTTTCTTCGCCACAGACTTCCTCATGTCGTCCGCGTAAGTCTTATATTTTCAACTACGCCAGGGACCAATCGACTTGGTGGCTTTCACCATACACCAGTCAACTAACACAACCGGAAGACGAGCACAACCATATCGACGCCCGGGTCATCTGTCGTCCGCGCCCATAGCGTCTCAATCCACCTCTGCAAGTGAAGACGAGTCGTACTACCAAGGCAGCCACCATCACGAAACTGAAGGTATCAGCTCCTCCGAAGTCTCGGAAACAGATTCTTCCATAGCAGACTCCGAGGATCTTGAACCAGACGACTCGGCCTCAAACGACGGTGCTCCCCGATACTCTCGTCCGGCGCTACCGCAACATCATCAGCAACATCACCATCAACAACATCATCCGCAGCAACAACGCGCAGTCCAATATCGTCAACACCACATCCCCCAACCTACTGCTCCTCCCCCCGGCACATCCATCCAATACCCGTATCGGCCCGGTCCAGTGCCGACCCCAACTGAAAGCCTGGATTCCAACGACTACGACGCGTCCCCCTTTGGCCCCCGTTCCGGCTACGGTCACGTACCGGCGCCTGGCCATGGGGGGCATCCTTCCTACTATGGTGGTCGTGGTGGTCACCCGCAGCCTGGCTACCCTCAAAGTCACGTAGGCGGCTACGGCGCCCCGAGCCCATACGGCCATCCCGAACCCCGGATGTTGGGATATGGTGGTTACAATCACAATGCCTTTTCACCAATGTCAAGTCACAGTGGGCAAAGCTACTTCGGAGGAGAGCCCGGACGATACGATATGATGCCGTACCAGCAACAGCACCCACCGGCCCATTACAACCCACACGGCTATCAACAGATGCAACACCACATGCAGTACATGGGCGGACAATTCCCACCCCCTCCCCCTACAGAAGCACCGCAACCGTCCAAGACCCCCGCACCCGAGCCGCCACCAAAAGAGGACCCGGAGAAGAAGAAGCTCCAACAAGAACTCGAGCTATTCAAAAAGATGCAGGCTGAGAAGGAAGAGCAGCAGAAGCAGAAAGAGCTGGAGGAGAAGCTTCGGAAAGAAGCAGAAGAGAACATCAAGCGACGAATGGAGGCCCTGAAGGAGGCCCAGGAGCTCGCGCAAAAGGAGATTGAAAAGGCAAAGATTGAGGCCGAAAAGGCAGCCAGAGAGGCTATTGAGGCTGAACGCAAAGCCGAGGAGCAGAGACAAAAGCTTCACCAGGAAGCCATGGCCAAGGTTGAGCGTGAAGCCAGGGAGAGGCTGGAACGCGAGTTGAAGGCCGAGGCTGAGCGTAAGAGGCTTGAGGAAGAGGCCCGCATCAAGGCCGAAGCCGAAGCGAGGCAACGTCTCAAGGAGGCTATCCAGGCTGAGGCCGATGCCAGAGCCAAGGCCGCCGAAGAGGCCGAAGCCAAGAGAAAATGGGAGGACGAAATGCGCAAGAAGGCCGAAGACGAAGCCCGTGCCAAGATGGAGGCCGAGAAGAAGGCAGCTGCCGAGGCTGCAGCGGCGCAAGCAAAGCTCGAAGCCGATCTCAAGGCCAAGGCTGAAGCCGACTGGATAGCCAAGGTCGCGGCGGAGAAGAAGGCGGCGGAGGAGGCTGCGGCGGAGAAGAAGAGGTACGAGGAGGAGATGAGATTGAAGGCCGAAGCCGCAATCGCTGCCGAGAAGAAGGCCGCCGAGGAGGCTGAGGCAGCCAAGAAGAAGTACGAGGAGGAAATGAAGGCCAAGGCCGAGTTTGAAGCTCGCACCAAATTGGAGGCTGAAAAGAAGGCCGCTGAAGAGGCTGCTGCCGCCGCCGCCGCTGCTAAGAAGGCCGACGAGGAGCTCAAGAAGAAGTACACCGAAGAGGCCAAAGCCAAGTACGAGGCCGACAAGAACAAGGGCAAAGACAAAGCCCCTATCAAGTTCAAGGATGCCGTGGGCAGGAAGTTCAGCTTCCCCTTCCACTTGTGCTCAACCTGGACAGTACGTTTGCCGTACAAACTATTTGCTCTCGCTGGCGTCAAACTGACCTTGATTTAGGGTATGGAAGAGCTCATTAAACAAGCCTTCATTCACGTGGACGTCATCGGACCGCATGTACAAGAGGGTCACTACGATTTGATTGGGCCTAATGGCGAAATAATCTTGCCCCAAGTCTGGGACAAGGTGGTCGAGCCAGACTGGACCATTGAGATGCGAATGTGGCCCATGGATAAGGCGCCTCCGCGCATGCCTATGCCGCCGCATGGCATGCCGCTCGACCCTGCCACCAGAGAGAGGATGGCGCATATGGCAGGCATGAGGCAACATGGTCATGCTCGAATGGGTAGCTTCCCTCCGGGTATGGCTCCTCCAGGTGGCAGGCCTGGCGGCGGCGGCCCACAGCCACCTCCCCCACCGGGCTGGGTCGGTCCCGGCGCACGTCCCGGCGGTCACGGCATGCCTGCCAACGTCGTTACGGTTGAGCCCGGCAAGTCCTCTAAGCACAAATCCAAAGCTAAGGGCTCGATGCTCAATTTCTTGGCCGGCGGTGCTGCAAAAGCTCCCAAGAAGAAGTAAGTTGCCAAATATTATTGCCACGCTGGTGCTGTGCGCTAACAGATGCGTAGGAAGAAATGATCACCAGCGCGCATATCGGAACTTTCCTTGAACTCTAAAGACCTGTTATGATCACACACAACTCAACGAACTTGCCGGGCTGGGGGTCCTTATTTGTTTTTACATATGATACCTTGTCGCGCCTTCTTTTTCCACATTATTCAGATTCCCGTCAGTCAGATCGAGCCTCCGAAATGCATCTTACGGCAACCACGGTTCATTTCGACGATCTTATAACGCATGTATGCCGGAGTATGAGCTGCGTGAGGGCGGGACACCTATTTCCCCAGAGAGAGACCGTACATGTTTTGGCGGAGCATTGCATGCATCATGGGGGGCAAGCTAAGGGGGACGACAATTTTTTTTTTTTCGAGGCATGGCGCAAAAAGAGGAGGACAAGACTGTGAGGCCCATTTGGTAGATGTTTATTCTTTTGGTTTATTCTTCTTGCACAGACAAGTTATGGTGTGGTAGATTATTGGCGACGAAAACGAACATTGCACTGTTTTATATATTCACTTCTTGACAATGACCTCACGATGACTTTTACTTTCTAAGCCTTTCCCATGCCTTTATTAGTCTACATGTTGTACAGCTCTTCTACAGAGAAGTTCGGGTAAGAACCCTTTATAGTCTGGGAGTACCCAAAACCGCCTTTACACGTTTCTGGAACGCCTCAATCATGACGCCCGCCACCTTTTCAGAAACCGCAGCGCTGACGGCCGAGTACAACGGATTCGCAAACTGGAACCGAATCACGAGATCCACCTCGGTGCCCGTCCCGGAGGCAAGCGGCCTCAGCTGCCACTTTGTAACCAGACTCCTAAACACGGCGCCGCCCTCGCCTCCGTTACCGGGACTCGCGCCCTCCACGTCGGCGCCGCTGATCGCCTCGACGCTTTCCCCCGGCACGCAGTGGAGTCTGCTCGTGAACGTCTCCTCGAAGCCGCCCCAGCCGACGCGGAGGTCGGCTTGCGTTGGGTACCGCCGGCCGCCGTTTGCCGGGTCCGGGTCGGGTGCGGACCAGGCTGTCACGCGGGATGCGGCGCAGTAGGGGACGAAGGTCTGGTAGGCGTCCACGTCGGAGATTACGTCGTAGAGTTGGGTGGAGGGGTAGGGCATTGTGCGGGTTGCGGTCAGGACTTGTGGGGCGGTTGAGGGCGCGAGGTTGGGGAGGTTGAAGAAGGGTCGGCGGGAGGGGGTGGTGAGGCGGGTTCGAGAGGTGAGGGAGGTTCGTAATGGGGGTGGGAGGCGGAGGAGGGGTCTTGCGGTTGCCATTGTGGTGTTCTTTGGTCGTGGGTTCGGGGGAGTGTGGTGGGAGGTTTCGAGGTTCGCGATGTGGGTTTGGAGGATGTGGGAGGTCGGTATTAAGGCAATGAGCTATGCCTGTTGCTCTCAATGTACAATGCTGCTGATGGAAATGGTAAAGAACGAGTGTGTTTGTACAGAGCCCTCCCGCGAGGTTCTTGTTGCGCCGTCCGAAATGCCGAGTGAGTTCGTCCCAAAGAAAAATGTCGTGGAGCTGGGCGCAATGACGATTAGAGAGAAGCTGTCGGTCGGTGTTAGTGGGATTGGGTTTGCGGTCTGCACTAGCCATACAGTGCCCGACAGCGCGGGAAGCTCATAGACACAGTACCAACATACCTTACCACCTTACCTTGGGTAGGTCGTGGAGCCCCAGCACATCATTATCGGGGCTGGGCTTTGGTGGGGTTTGGATTATCGAGCAGCAAGCAGCGCTACAGCACAGCTCTCTCCACAAGCCAAGTTGGCAAGCCACAGCAAGCCCGCCATCAACCGTCCCGCATCTCCTACTCTGACATCCCTTGGACACTAACCCCCGAGGCGACGGCGACGACAAACGAAGACGACGACGCAATACCACCGGAGCCGACCTCCATCCACAATGTACCATAGAACCCGGAGTACCTGACCGAACCTCCCCCAATACTTCGCTCCGAAACTCGATACCTTTTGCCCTCTCCAGGCTGCCTTCCGCCCCTAGCGTGGGGCTGTTGTCATTCTCAAGATGTAGGTCTCTCTTTCTCGGGGAGGTGGACGACGTTCGCATAAACAAAAAAAAACAAGTCACCACACTCTGCACCGCAAGGGAGCTTTCAGCGCGCTGACCAGACCGGACGCATTGCCCCAGGTTCGAGAAATCCCTCTACGACCTCATCAGAGGCTTGCGAAACCATAAAGGCAACGAGCGCGAGTACATACAGAACAGCTTGAAGGAATGTCGCGCAGAAGTTCGCGGGCAGGACATGGGTGAGCCAGACAACTCCCTCTCTCGGCCGCGGGGGCTAGTATCTTTGGGGAACAAGAGAGAACGGTATGCTGACTTGGGTCCCTCTGCCAGACGTGAAGGCGACGGCGCTGCTGAAGCTGGTCTACCTCGAAATGGTTGGTCACGATATGTCGTGGGCCTCGTTCCATGTCCTCGAGGTCATGTCGTCGCAAAAGTACCATCAGAAGAGGGTCGGGTACCTGGCCGCTGTCCAGAGCTTCCGACCTGATACTGAAGTTCTCATGCTTGCTACGAATCTTCTGAAGAAGGTGATGCTGCCCGTCCCAATCTTGCGCCCAAGGAGGGGGCGGAGGTTGTTGGATAGTACCTACGGGACGAGTAAGACTGACAGCTGTGCTCCCAGGACCTCTCGTCGACACAAGCGACCACCATCTCCCTACCAATGGCTACGCTGCCGCACATCATCAACCCTTCCCTCGCCCTCTCGACCCTCTCCGATCTCCTCCCGCGCCTCGGTCACTCGAACCCGGCCATTCGCAAGAAGACCATTGTGACGCTGTACCGCCTGGCGCTGGTGTACCCCGAGACGCTGCGCGCGGCGTGGCCCAAGATCAAGGAACGGCTGATGGACAAGGATGAGGACCCGAGTGTCACGGCGGCCATCGTCAACGTGGTGTGCGAGCTGGGATGGAGGAGGCCGCACGATTTCCTGCCGCTGGCTCCCAGGCTGTTTGAGCTCCTTGTCGATGGCGGTAATAACTGGATGGCCATCAAGCTCATCAAACTGGTATGTTTGGCTGAGTTGATTTTGCTGCTGTATGGTTTTGCTGACTACGGATTTAGTTTGCGACCTTGACGCCGTTGGAACCACGCCTTGTTCGAAAGTTGCTGCCACCCCTGACTGAGCTGATCCGGACGACACCAGCCATGTCGCTACTTTACGAGTGCATCAACGGCATCATCCAGGGAGGTATTCTAGGCAGCGCAGATGACGTCTCAGGCAGAGAAGAAATTGCGACGCTCTGCGTGAACAAGCTCAGGGGCATGATCATGGTGGACGGCGACCCGAACCGTGAGTCCTAATCCTCGTCGGATACACTTTGAAACCTAACACGGGCTAGTGAAATATGTTGCGCTGCTTGCATTCAACAAGATCGTCGTGACACACCCGTTCTTGGTGGCGCAACAAGAAGATGTCATTCTCGAGTGTATCGACAGTGCTGATATCACTATCCGTATCAAGGCCTTGGACCTCGTTCAGGGCATGGTCAGCAGTGACAACCTGGTGTCCATCGTGAGCCGTCTCATGAAGCAGCTCAAGTCATCTGCGCCGAAGAGGGACCGACCGGGGGCATCCCTCGGCCCAGACACAGGAATGGACTCGGAGGAGGAAGCAGAGATCGAGATACACTCACCGACGAAGGCTCAGGAAGAGCCACCGCTTCCCGACGACTACAGGAGCGACGTCATCGGACGGATCCTGACCATGTGCTCGCAGAACAACTACAGCAGCTTGACTGACTTCGACTGGTACATCGACGTACTTATTCAGCTTGTCCGCATGGCGCCAACGCCACGATCAGTTGAGACCGAACTCGACTCCGTCGCTGCGTCTGGAAAATCAACCGCTGGGGACGTATCAGGAAGGATCGGGGACGAGCTGAGGAACGTCGCGGTAAAGGTTCATGCGCTACGAGGGGCGGCGGTCCGGGCGGCCGACCTCATCATCCAACAAATGAATGCGGACACACCCGCCGGCCACTCGCTCTCATCAGCATCGCTCAAGTCGACGTCTTGGTTGGTTGGAGAGTACGCAAACCAGCTAGCATACCCTGAAGACACTCTAGGAAACCTACTACGCACATTATCTCGCACAACTATCCCCGATATTCTTACGACAAGTCTGCAGGGTGTCACGAAGATATTCGCCTACATTGCAGGGAACGAAGGCCAGCCGTGGACTCCTGAATGGAAAACAAAGATCTCGTTGCTCTTGGCGCGTGTTATTCACACGTTGGAGCCGCTTGCTCTTCACCCAAATCTTGAAGTTCAGGAGAGATCCGTCGAATTTATTGAACTCTTGAAGCTTACTGCGGAGGCGGCCTCTGGTCAGGCGGCGTCAACTGAGGATACTCACCAGGATCCTCCGTTGCTGTTGACACAGGCCATTCCATCCTTGTTCCAAGGATGGGAGCTCAATTCCGTCGCTGTTGGAGCGCAGCGAAACGTTCCCATGCCGGAAGGCTTGGACCTCGATGAACCTATCCACCCGAACCTGGCACATCTGCTCGCCCAGGCTGACGTGATACCAATGGAGGCTAACGAGGCGGACGACTTCGAGGTATATTACCACCAGCGCCCAGCGCCTACCAGCATATCCTCTTCCGAACCAGCCATCAGCAGGATCGCCGACGTCCCGGCAGAGGAGGTTGTCAGCTCGTACCAGCAGCAGGCGACGGAAGACAGCTACCTGGACGCAGACATCGTGGCCAGGAGGAAAGCCGAGCGCAATGAGCGCAACCGCGATGACCCGTTTTACATCGCCGCCCCTGACGCGGCACCCAGGACGTCGACCCCGATACACAACATTCTTCAAAAGGAGAACGGCCCAGATCTCGATATAGACTCTATACCGATAATGCAGTTGGATCTCGACAAGCTGGGCAGCTCGGCACCCGGTCCCACATCTCCCATCAACCGACCGCAACCGCGACCGAGGCAAAGGGTCATCATCGCCGCGGACGAGACACTCGCCGGCAGCGGCGTTTCGACGCCGCGCAACTACGAGTCGGAGAACAACTCGGACAGCTTCACAAAGTCGCGCGCCAAGAAGCTCCGCCAGGGTCTCTTGCACGTCGACTCGTCCACGCTCGGCTCCCTCAGCCTCGAGGGCGACGCTGCGTCGTCCAGCAACACGCCGTTTGACTATGAGCGGCAGCAGCGCGAGGAGGCCGAGATGGCGCAGGCGATGAAGGAGGTCGAGAGGCTCCGTCTCGAGATGCAGCGCGCCAACGAGCGCATCCAGGTTGCGCAGGGCGTCGACGTTGCCGGCACGGTGGTGAAGAAGAAGACCAAGAAGAGCAAGAAGACGGAAAAAGACGGCGGAGCCGAAGGGTCGGCGGTCAAGACGAAAAAGAAGAAGAAGAAGGCTGTCGTCGCCGACGGCGGTGCCGCGCCGCCCGCTGTGCTCTTGACGGACGATGCGGAGAACAGCGCCGGCGGCGGGGAGGACAGCGCGCCGATACCGCCTCCCGAGACGGCTGTTGAGGGGTCCGGGGAGGGCGGCTTCGATGCTGCCGGTCCGCCGGTCGTTGTGCCCAAGAAGAAGAAGAAGAAGAAGACGACCAAGATGGCTGAGATTGCGGGTGATAGTGGTTGAGGCGGAAGCAAGCCAGGGGCCGGTCGAAAGAGGTCGTGAAAAGGATGAGATGGAGAGCAAGACAACAACTCTCGCATGCATAGTAGAATAAAAAAGGCGCAGTGTTGAATGACGTACGGATCGAGTACGATTATGGGTGACGGTGAAGACCTTGTGTCCAGCACACTAAGCGTATTGCGAGGCAGTGGCATGCCAGTATATTGTTTTCCCTCTTTCCTATGGCCCGCGCATATCTCACGAGACACCCATCATTTCACATCATTACAGAAACACATCAAGGTTTTAAATGTTTGAGGAGTACTCCTCTTCTCTTATCGACAACTCCCGGCTCTCTGCCCCTCCTTCCCCGGCACTTTCAGTCGGGTCCGTCTTTCTCTCATCGTCCTCTTCCTTCTCTCTTCTCGTGGGTTTTGTTTACGTACAGACATGATACAAAGGGGACACCGAGGGAATCGCTTCCCCAAACGTCACCGTCGTTTCGCGTTTCAAACCGCCAAAAAGGAAAAATCAAAACCAGCCAAAAAGCGGAATTCCCCTTTTTTTTATGTTGCCCCGCAAACCCGCCGTCCGTAGCACAAAAGTCCTTCCAGCGTCCGTCCACGCGTCACACAACAAAAGGGGTGTAGTTTGGTTTGAAGAAAATAGACATTAAGAAAGGAAAAAGAAAGGAAAATCTCATGGCCATGAAGAACAAGGAGGCACGGCATAAACACGCTTGCTTCAGTCATCCATGGGCTTGTCCTCGAGCGTCACTCCGCGGGGCGCGGTGAGGGAATCGCGAGGAGTCGACGGGCCGCTGTCTGTTCCTGCGCTGGGTGCGGCTGCCACGTGCCGGTCCAGAGAGTATCGAACACTGCTACGTCCCAGGCTGTTACGCTTCTCAACAGGCGATTCCAGAGCCTTGATTCTAGCCGCGACTCCCTCCGCTGCAGGCGCAGGCGCCGCAGCCGATCCATTGGTTGTCGTCTCCTTTGGCGAGCTGGTTTCGCTACCGGGAACCTCGAGACTGGATCTCTTGGCTCCAACAACGCTGCCCAAGCTAGAGCGGTGACGGTCGACTGCTGACGCAGGTGGGCTTGTCTGGATCGGGAAGCGAGTCTCAGGGCCACCCGTGCTGCGGTCACGTCTGTGGCCACGAGGGCTGGGCGCAGGGCTTGTTGCGCGACCACGGCTGCCGGCGGCCTTCTCGAGCAGAGCTCTATTCCGCTCTTCCATGTTGGCTCTCCGGTTGCTCTCGTCGGTGCTGATTGCGCGGGGGCGATTGTTGTCTCTGATCGATCCGCCGTGGCCAGCAGTAGACATACGCTTGAGTTCGCTGAAGATGGCGTCTTTGTTGTTGAAGAGGTCACGAACGAGTCTGTAAGCATGCTTCTCTTCCATAGTTAAGGAGGTTTCCGTGCGAGGACGCAAGATGCAGGGCGCAATGCCCGTGGCCAAAGACGCGATGTAAGTCTCATCAGCCGAGGTAAGGTCGATTAGGCGGGTGAAGTGGTTCATACAGGCGTCGAGTGTTGCGATATTAGTAAGACGCATTTGCGAAAGCGTCTGTTGCAGCACAGGCACGCGAGCAGAATCGTCTTCCTGGGTTTGAGTCTGGTAGATTGTTCTGACAATCTCGTAAACGTGTGAGGAAACGAGGGAGTCTATAATATTGTTAGTACATGGCTTCTGCAAAACTGTGGGGATTTTCTTACCAGGCAGTTCAAGGAGATACAGCTTGAGCAGCGCCGCAAAAGTTGGGATATCGAACTCATCAAAAACTTCGGCCGCAGCGGGCTTGCCGTCATTCAGCTTGCCACGGAGCTTGTGAATCTGCTGGAGTGGAACATCGACTAGCCACACATTCCTTCTGGCCTCGTCACCTTCAAGGTCAGGGTAGTGGTTATCGAGGTAGGTCAGAATGGTGGTGACAATGATAGGCACTCGCTTCTTATCCGCGCGCGCTCTTGCCTCGAGATCCACTCCGAATGTCTGCTCGTCGACCTTATTGTAGTAGTTCTCGTACACCACTACCTTGGGAATGAAGCTACCGGTCCGGTAGTTCTCTAGTAGGTATCTGAGGTCCCCTAGAGGCTGGACGGTCTCCTGGAAAAGCATCATGTGGTCCACAGCAGATTGCATGCTTGGAATGACGTTGCTGATGGTACCGGAAAAGTCCAGGATAACAGTCTTGATGGCCTTGAGACGGTCCAGCTCGCAGCGCTCCAGGAAGCGGAGGTGAATGAAGATGGTCTCCTCCAGATCGCAGCGCATCTCGTCCAACTTGCGCACGCCACCCTTGTACTTGTCGTCGGCTTCCCTGGCCTCACGGCGCAATCGCTCCGGTGGGGTCTCGTTGGGGTGTTGGTTGTTAAGGACATTCCAGTTGGCGAGGTATTCGCTGACGGTTCCGACCACGGGTGAATCCGACGACTCGGATGCAGGAAGGGAAAATGTGCGACCAAGAGGCGACTTCTTATCGGGGATACCGGACAGTTTGAAAGCCTTGGGACGCCACTGGTAGAACATCTTGGAGCTGTTGGCGAAAGTGCTGCCAACGTTGCCAATCAATCTCAAGTATCCGTTCGAGATGAGGTCCTGTCCAATTCTCTCGGCATAGCTGACGCTCGTCGTGTTCATGTGCCTCTGCAGGTACTCGACAATGTCTGAGCCAGCCGATGTGTTCTGGTAGGTTCCCAGAATGGGCACCTTGGTCTCTCCGAGCTTGATGGTGTTCAGCATGTGCGCCAGGATCTTCTTGACTTGCTCGGGCTGGTAGATCTCGTCACCGATCTCGATGGGCTCGTCGTCGTCTTCTTGGGGGTGAAGCTCGGGCTCCTTGTTTTCGGAGACCTTGATCTCGGGAATGTTGTTCTTCGGGCTGTTCTCGGGGTCCTGGAAGGCCAGCTTGGTTTCCTCCTCGATATCCTCAACCAGTCGGCACTTGTTGAAGTAGGTGCTCCTCAGCTTCTTGACCAACTCGGCCTGCCTGTCGTGCGCCTTGATGCGAGCTTGCAGCTCATCCTGAGAGTCCTGGATGCGCGACTCGTGGGCATCGCACCAGCGCGAGAAAGGGTTGACGACCAAGTCCCGAATGTTCTGAGCAATCTTCTTGTGGTTTTTGGCGCCCTCTTCCATCTCAGTCCGAACACCATCGAAGGCCTGTGATGGAGGTTAGCACGAGCCTCGGGAAAGCTCTCGGTGGGGACGTTATGCGAACCTTGCGAACGCTGGCACCATCGTCTTTTGAGAAGCCGCCCTGGACTTTGTCTGCGTTTGGTGCAATATCTCCTAGTCGCTGACTGTAAATCTCCTCGGCTTCGGCACGCATTCGAGCGACAGTCAGGACTTGTCGGTTTTCTTGGACACCTTGCTGCAACTTGCTGAAGAGGACGCCGAGTCCTAGCGCGGAGATGCTTAGCCAAAGCGCGAGGGGTTGCAGTAGCGCATTCAGTTGACTTACCTGCAGCATAGTCGCTGGACCAAAAGGAATCTTCGAAGCCCGGCATGATGCCTAAAAGCTTCTACCTGTCGCGGACGATGATGCTGTGTTGATACGGGTTGAGGCTGAAAAGTTTGGCGGGCAGAGAGAAAAGGAGGCGGCGAGAAATGTTTCGTTTAGTCGTTATGCAGGAGGCGGGAGGTGGGAGGGAAAGATGGGTTGGTATTTTCGGCTCGAGATTAGAGACGCTTTTCTGTCGGTTGCGAGAAGCGAAGGAATACGTCAGCCGCGATTGACTCGGCAGTGCAGGCTGTTCTTGGAAAAGACGGCCGGCAACAAACAAAACGAGAGATAAAAGAGACAGGTGCAGGAAGGTGAAGTAGAAGCAAGATGCTGTAGTGTTCGTTGTCGTCGTCCTTTGTCAGGGGCACATGCCAGTTGGAGGAGGAAATTTTGGAGAGCAGAAATGGAAAAGGCTTTGGAGTGAAGGTGCTGGTGGTCAGTGGTTGCTGACAGGTTCAAGGTTCAAGGTTGAAATGCACCTCAGGTTGGGGGGGCAGAAAGGATGGAAGGAGAAGCTGCTTCCACCTGCTGCTGCTTTGCTTTGCTCTCAATGCTCTACCTATTCCTTCCTCCTGGCTCCTGCTGCTTCCAGATTGCTAGGAATAGGAACCTGGATCCGTACTGTGCGTCCAGCTGTGCGTCCCTCGGTCTCCGCAGGGCCATCAGTGAAGCTTTACGACGTGCGGCACCTCTTCCGACTTCATCATCCACCTCCTGCAGCCAACCCGGTGACACGGCATCACACGGCATCAACCTAGATCAAAGGTCAGCAGCATGGTATTCTCCTGCTGTAGGTACGCATACCTCATGCCCTTGGAGGGCTCCTCCTCTGCCACTGCCAACAATCTGCCCGACGAACCGGGGCTACAGAGACACTATCCGTAAAGCAGTCTAGCAATGCTGCAATGGCAACGGTCATTGGGGCCTTGCTTGCGTGCCTTGCCTTGGTCCTTCAAGTTTGAACTTGGAGACGTGGCATTCCATTCCATTGGCCCCCCTGCCTCATGACGAACGATCGAACGAAAGCTGGCCCCTCAGGCGGCAGACCCTTAGCCGGCCTCACTGGGCGACTCGGATAGGCCTGGGGAGTTGGGACCTTGGCTGAAAAGCCGATGATGATGGGAGGAGCCATCTGAAGCCAAAAATACATCATGCTCCAGCCACTGCCCGATCCCCACTCATCTCCTTTCCCAGTGTGTGACTGGCCAGGGCCCCAATTGCCCCCCGTTATGCTCCATTCAAAGCAAATGACCCTGAATGAGGCAGCCAAGCAGAAGCAAAGCAGAAAGCTACCGATGTCAGGGCAAGGACAGCTTGTGTGAACCCCCTGCATTCGTCTCTGTTGCAGAACGATGGGGCTATTCCCAGCTGGAGAGACTCGGCTCATTCACTCACCTGCGAAGCGAACCCCAAAGACGTTCTCAGCCCCCTTCTCACAGGGCTGACCTCCCAAACCAGTTGCCGCCGCCAATTTGGCGCCGTATTAAGCATCATCTTCACAATTTATGCAGTCCGGGATAAGGTTTCCTCGTCACTATCCAGAGGGAATGTTTCTGAAGACGTCAAAATTGGTTATTGTCTTTGTTCACTTCTTTGTTGCTGAACGAGACTTTCCATGGACCACTGCCACCGTAAGTTGAAACTGAAGAGAATTGTCGCCGATCACCAAGCCCCTTCCTCTAACCCCTGAGAACCCTCGTTGCCACTGGGACGGTTCCCCGGACGACAAAAGGCCGTTGTTAATAATTACCAAGGGCTGGTCTGCGGCCTATGTATGTACTAGCGAAGACGAAACCCAACGATTGCCCCATACAGTCCGTAATCTTGTCTGTCAGGCAATACCCACCCAGCCCAGCATATGGGAATCATTCCATCGCTGAGTTGGCTGGGGAAAGTCCAACTGAACGCAAGAGCCAGCCATCATCCGAAGTTGTAAAGTCATGACTGGGAGCTTCCCGTCTATGAGGTCCGTTCCCGAAATTCTAATCCACAAGCCCACTCTAGTGTATGTACCTAGTCAGTGCTTGTCCCTACTTTCGGATTTTGATGCACTGTCCTAAAGTAAGAAAAATCATCTGTCCAACTATGCAACTATGTATTTCATTGTAGACTCAAGAGATCTCGAGAGAACAATTTCTCGAGAAAACAATATCGTTTGGGCCTTAATTCACACTACGCAAGAACTTACGACAATTGCTAGGCTGACTTTCGCACGGCTTGCTGAAGCTCGGGCTAAGGTATTCGTACTAAGTCAACTGGATCTATCAGGAACTGTAGAATGTACTATGACCAGGCTGCAAATCAATCCATGACTTGTCAGTATCTATAAAAGTATGGAATCTTAATGAACGTTGCTATTGGGACTATAAGAAATTCTTACAAACGTGTCCAAACTTAACTAAGTCCTCAGATAGGATTTTGGGAGCTTCCCAAACGGTCCCTTATCGCCGGGATCAACTCGCAGATAAGAGTCTCACGCAATCGCAGCTCGGAGCTTTGACCCCGGGCACTCTGTGACGTGATTCCTAATCAACCAAATGTATTGCAACATGCCTGGAGTCTGAACACCTCGGCTTCCCTCTGTGAAGGATCATTGACTTTCACAACAAGGCAGTATCTCCTTTTGAGGCGGTCTTCAGACACCCTATCGACAGTAAGTTGTCTGGGTTCATATGACATCGCCAACTCGTTATTCGCACTTATGATGGTGTAATGAGGCAAGCAGCGCTGACGAATAACATAGCCGTGAGACACAGACCTAAGATTGCTAGTCACCCAGGTCACACCCAACGCCATGGATGAAAAGAAACAGTTCATGTGTGACGAGACTGGCGATGAGGCCCAGTTGTCTCCTCGCAAGACTCCGTCTCCTGCAAAGAAAGCCGTTGTTGCTTGTTTCGCCCTGTGGCTCGTGACACTAACCTTTGGTGTCCGTCCTATGAAGTCATGCTATCATCGAATGAGAAAGCCATGGGGCGTGCCCCTTACCGTCGAGGAGAGGGCTCAAAATATTCTTTCTCATACTCCATTGATAGGTACGACCACCCTGTGCATTCTGTACGACACGATGAGAAGTGCTGACCGACCGTCATCGTAGATGGCCACAATGACCTCCCTATTCTCGTCCGAGGATTCTTCAACAACCACATCTACGAGAAGAACTTCACTGAGCCCTTTGAGAACGGTGGTCTTGTTGGCCACGTTGATCTGCCCAGGCTTCGCAAGGGTCAGAACGGCGGTGCTTTCTGGAGCGTTTACACTCCTTGCCCTGCTAATGGCAGCGACTTCTCTGATGAGAACTATGCTGAGAGCAAGTCTTGACCGTTTGAATGATCTGGAATTTATAACTCTAACACTTGTGACCGTAGGCGTCCAGTGGACTCTTGACCAAATCGATCTCATGACCCGCATCAAGGACTCCTATCCCAAGGACTTCTCCTCAAGCGCGAACAGCGGCGCCGCTTTGAAGGCATGGGAGAAGGGCCAGCTCATCTCCCCTCTGGGCGTCGAGGGTCTGCATCAAATCGGCAACTCTGTCGCCAATCTCCGACGCTACCATGCCCTGGGTGTCCGCTACTCGACCCTCACCCACAACTGCCACAACAAGTTCGCCGACGCCGCGCTGCTCGAAAGCCCTCTGCGCAAGGCAGAGCCTCTGTGGCACGGGTTGAGCCCTGCCGGTCGCCGTCTCATTCACGAGATGAACCGTGTCGGGTTGATTGTCGACCTCTCCCATACAAGGTAGGTTTCGAGGACCCGTTGATCCCTACAAAGGATGGTTTCTAACATTTCTTACAGCGCCGAGACACAGATTGATGTCCTCGGGGGCAAGGACTGGGAAGGCAGTAAGGCGCCTGTTATCTACAGCCACAGCTCCGCATTCAGCGTCTGCCCGCACCCCCGCAACGTAAAGGATGACGTTCTGAAGCTCGTCAAGGAGCGCAACGCGGTTGTCATGGTCAACTTTGCGCCTGACTTCATCTCCTGCGTCGACTCCGGCAACGAGAACGGTCTGCCCACCTACGTCCCCGCCAACGCCACGCTTGGCCAGGTCGTCAGGCATGTCCTGCATATTGGCAAACTTATCGGTTTCGACCACGTCGGTTTCGGCTCCGACTTTGACGGGATTGCGTCTGTGCCCAAGGGTCTGGAGGACGTGTCCAAGTACCCAGGCCTTGTTGCCGAGCTGCTGAGGCAGGGTTTGAGTGACGAGGACGCGGCAAAGGTCGTTGGCGGAAATATTCTTCGCGTCTGGAAGGAGGTTGAGGCGGTTGCCGAGAAGCTGCAAAAGGATGGCCAGCCTGTCCTTGAGGATGATATCGCAAGCCCGAAGTGGTAGGGGCAGTGCGCTGGAATCAGTATCAATGGGTTCATAGATGCCTCAAACTTTCGCTCCTGTGCGTATCTAAGACAATGGTGAAATTGGAACCGAAATTGATGGTACAAGTGGTATAGTTTTTCATAGTCATACATGTTTGGGCACACCACAGACCCGTCTATGTTGTACATTCGGTGGTCATGCAATGAGCACCACCTCAAAATCTAACCCATTCGCTCTCCAAGTACCCAGTCGACAGCCACCACAAAGGGCGTTTACCATCGTCTGTTCGCAGAATTGTGCTTCCTGGCCGACTCGATCTGGGTCCTCGTCCGCTGTCCTCTCACGGGGAGGTTCATGGCGTGTCTTCTTCCCCGGTAACTTCCCATATCCTTTAGTCTCATGACGTTCTGTTGAATGATCTTCCGCGCATCGCTTTCTATCGTCATTGTCGATAACTCTGCCGTAAGAGCCGTGACGGTTTTCGGTGGCAGAGCGCCGACTTTGGACATGGGGGAGATGGAGTATTTGGCCAAAATGCGGGATGATGTGGTCGGCCCGAGAGCGAAGAAAGACTCAAGCGCCTTCTATAAAGAGAATAAGATCGTTAGCATCGTCGTATGTGGTTTACAGCTGGGTCGTTATCGTTCGCAGGCGAAGGGGATGCCGTACCTTCACGAGCTTTTGCTCGGAAAAGTTGACTCCTAGAATGAAAACCTATAGAGGGTCAGTCAGTTGCCGCTCCTGTGTCTGTCATAAGATATCCATCTTACCATTTTCTTCAATTTAAAACCCGAGTCCTCGAAAAGAGCGTCACTATCGTCGCCGCGGGCTGATCCGGTGCCTGCAATTGATGATGGGATCGCGAAACTTCGAAATCATCGATGCACTCACGGAGAGTCGGCGCCGGAAAATAGTGGATCCAATTGCAACGCGGCGGTGGCAGGTGCTGCACGTAGTCTAGTGACACCAGTGGCTGCCCGGCTGCATTGATAGCACTGATCCGCCCAGAAGGCGACCCTTTATGCCATGGACCCATCCACTTCCACGGATTGCCTCCCCCCATTGGGCAGTTGCGGCGACCAGGGTCCGAGCTCGACTTCCTCATTCGCGTGCTTCAGAGAGGGGAGTTTGAAACGTAGCTCTACGGTTCCGAGGGTCCCTCTATTTAACACACTGTCCCTTCTGGCGATAACCTCTCCTCCCTTCCCAGACGGTTCTTACTTGCATCCACAGAATCTGAATTTCTTTCCCCAATTGATCGAGTTCAGTGCGCAGTGTCCATCATGTTCAGCATTCAGAGACTCGTCTCTGCCCTCCTCCTCGCCGGAGTGGCTCTGGCCTTCTTCGCGCAGACCGCTGAGGCTGCCAAGGGCCCCAAGATCACCCACAAGGTCTACTTCGACATCACCCACGGCGATGAGCCCCTCGGCCGCATCACCATGGGTCTGTACGGAAAGACTGTCCCCAAGACCGCTGAGAACTTCCGCGCTCTCGCCACCGGCGAGAAGGGCTTCGGCTACGAGGGCTCTACCTTCCACCGCGTTATCAAGCAGTTCATGATCCAGGGTGGTGACTTCACCAAGGGCGATGGCACTGGTGGCAAGTCCAGTGAGTTGCTCTCAATCCAAACCGCTTTCACAGTTCTGCGTGATGACTGACGATATGGAAACTCCACAGTCTACGGCGAGAAGTTCCCCGATGAGAACTTCAAGCTTAAGCACTCCAAGAAGGGTCTCCTGTCCATGGCCAACGCCGGCAAGGACACCAACGGCTCCCAGTTCTTCATCACCACCGTTATCACCTCGTAAGCACACCTCGCCGACAACTACAAACACTCCATACCCACGAAGTTGCGCTAACTCTACAATCACAGTTGGCTCGATGGCCGTCACGTCGTCTTCGGCGAGGTCCTCGAGGGCTTCGACGTCGTCGAGAAGATCGAGCAGGCCCAGACCCAGCCCGGCGACCGCCCCGCCAAGACGATCAAGATCGCAAAGAGCGGAGAGCTGGAGGTGCCCCCTGAAGGTATCCACGTGGAACTCTGAGCACGTACTGTGACAACCCGTCGTCCCTCGCTGTCTCCTCGTTTTATCATCAACCCGACACTTTTTACACCATTCCACCTTGACTCTTCCCGCTGATGACCTCCCGAAATTGATGAAACAACACACAAAAACGTACTTGGTTTGCTGATGGCTACGCCCCCCTCGTTGCAGGCGAATACGGCACTAGCGAGTGGGCGTCAGGCTACTCCAACGAGGATACGCCGCTGGAGGTGGGCTCCGGCGAGGGCTGGTCCCTAATCCAGAAGGGTCTCTTCGGTGGTGTTGTTGTTGCTGCGATCGTCGCCTACATCAAGTTCAGCAAGTCCAAGGCCGCAAGAGATGTCGGCTACGAGAAGACCATGGCGTAAAGGGGGATTTGACAGGGTGAAGCGGGCATCGACTTGGCTCAGGAAATACAAGACAACAAATGCCAGCTAACAAGAAATGGCCAACACATGCATATGTCAACTATATTCGAATGTGCAATTTGTCGTGATGCTGAAAATGTTGTCTATACGTCTTGCATTCTCTTAAAGCATAGTCCAATAGCTGTAAAGCACCCATCCCAAAGCGCATCACGTGTGGGGTACCAAAAAAATTCCGTACTGGCCAAATTTCAACTCAAACACACCCCTCTACAGTTGAATAGCGAACAACCGATCATACCCGACGCCCGCAAGACCAAATCAGAGAAAAAATATGAAGCTGCTTAGTCTCAACTTTTTGACCTGCGCAGTCAAGGCCTGCAAGTCCTCCGCGGCCTCGTTCCCCCTCCACCCCAAGGACGCAGAGCTGGCGCAGGACGACATCGAGGTCAACCCCCAACTTCTCTTCAACGTCCTGCCCCGCTTAGACTGGGCCGCTCTGCGAACGAACGCAACTGAGGTAAGGCTCTCGTTCATACTTTATCTTACATCGTATTTTCCCTCATATTTTGGTCTTCCGTCTGAAGATGTCTTTTTCTATACATCATCCAAGCTCATATACGTCCACTACACCATCTCTTTTGTTTCATGTACGTGCAGATTGCTAATTAGTTACCTTAAAAGCTGGGCTTCCCCGAACTTCCCACGGAGGCCCCCTCGGCAGAGCAACTCGAGGGCGACGACAAGATGCTCAAGGAACTGCACCACCTCCTCATGGAGACGCAGATCATGGAGGGCAAGCTCGTCTGCGGCAACTGCGGACACGAGTACGCCATTCGCGAGGGCATCGCTAACTTTTTGCTGCCGAGTCACTTGGTCTAAGAGGCAACGCTCCGATTATGGGGGACCAAGTCTGGAGAGATGATGAAGAATTTTGATTTGAGACGGCCGACGAGGCTGTAGTAGGCGTTCATGGCGTTTTTCTCCTCTCACAACAAAGCATGAAGGTTCTCTGTTGTGGGGGGAGGGGAGGTGGGCGGCAAACAGAGGAAGACAAAAAAAGGTCCATTTATAGAAATACATTTCATGCCATTTGCGAGAAAAACACTACATTGGTCTCTACAGACCACAGGGCCCCTTTCCTGTGCTCTCTAAGTATCATGCCCCTTGATTCCTCCGCCTTTACTCGAAACATGCCTGTCAAAAGCCAGCCGATAACTCCCGACGTTCTCAAATGAAATACACAGGTTGTTGAAGGAGGCACCCCTGGAAAAAAATGCCTGGCGGCGATTTTGATACACATCTACTGGGCCTTTTTGTGAGCCGCAGGGCCGTTCTCCTTCTCGAAAGCACCGTACGGGATCTCGAGGCTGGCGAGAGCCCTGATACCGACACCGAGAATGCTGAAGAGAACAATAGTGGCGATAATGGCGTGGAAGACGCCTACGGTCATGTCAGTCTCATTCATAGCACCACGAATCGACGAGACTCCATCACTCACCTGGGGAGAAGAAGACGTATTTTTCAAAAAGAGGCAGCTTGCTCCACTCGGTCTGGTTGTCGGCCCTCCTGACGTGTCGCAGGCTCGCCTCGTGGCGCTTGAGCTCCGCGTGCAGAGGCTCGGTGGTGAACTCGGCCTCGTAGGTGGGCTCCGAGGGGCTGGCGAGGTAGATGACGGTGTACGAATCCGACGCCTTGCGCAGTTTCTCGAGGCGCTGGCCCAGGGCGTGGTCGTTGTCGGCGAGTGTGGCGGCTCTCGCGTCCCGTCCGAGGGCAGCGAGCCTGGCCTCCTCGACCTCGACTGTCTTGTCCGCGCACGACTTCTTGATGTAATCAGCCAGTTTTCCGATGGGCACCTCGCCGACGACCTCGGCGACGCTGTAGACGCCGCGAGCGTCCTTGTCGGAGATGGCGCGGCACAGGTTGGGCGATTGGCAGTCGCCGCTGGCTGGGTTGCGGATGTCGGCCGCGTTGACGTTGGGCTGGGAGACGAGAAGGTAGCGGTTTGTCGGGCAGGAGGAGAGGAGACCCTGAACGGCCTTGACGACCTGGGACTGAGTCTGAAGCTGAGCGGGGTTGGACTTCGCGAACCTAAGGGGAAGAAAGACATGTTAGCAGTGTTCGATGACGAGGATGGAAGGGTTCGGTGGTAGGTCGAAACGTACTCAGCGGTCGAGAGCATGATGAAGGGCGAGGAGTCGGTGAAGGCCTGCACCGAGGCGCACAAGGCCATGAGGCCTGCTGTTCTTGATAGACGCATGGCTGGTTGATGTGGTTGAAAGCTTGCCCGTTTGGATGCGATGGCTAGCCTTCGTCGTTCTGCCAGGAGTTATGCTGCGGATTAGCTCCAGGGACGACGTAGCTTGGATACATGCGTCTATGCGAGCTCAACGTAATCAGCAACTACACGCACGCCCGCTTAAATACATTTCTGCAATCGCGATCCAACAAGGCCTCTTCAGGTCAGTTTCATCAAGGTCACTACCTGCCCCGCCCCTGCATATCGTTTTACAAGAGCGATGCACCTGCGGTGCAGCCTTAATTCATCAAAACGCCCGCCAGTTGTACTCACCTATAGCTTTTGATGCTTCAAGATCTACATTCTCATGGAATGCGGTATCGGCATTTTAACACAATCCACATTCATAATGCATATGAATGGCCACTCGTTCCAATTTCTAATGCATATAGTGTAGCTCACTCCCGGGCTCCTCAAGGCTCTTCAAGAGTTCATGCATGTCAAGAAGGTATATCTGCACTGAGCAGCTCGCAGTCGTCGAGGGACAATTACAAGAGACTCTCATCGGGACGGGCAAGAAAGTCACGAGTCGGGCCGTACGCAGACCTTCGATAAACAAAACACAATTGTGAGAACTACTGGGCTACGACATAGGTAACCATCCGAACATTCGTGACCGTATCAAACAGCAGATTGACGTGAGCGGAGCTTCATGAACCTTGAAATCATCAGAGGAAATGTCAGCATGTCAGCATGCACGGCAGTCGAGGAATGATGCAGTGAAGCCCCCTCGGGATGTCACCTGCTGGTTTCGCTGACAGATGCACGCCTAGCGGGCGAGACCTGGAGCCCGTTCCAGCGCATTTAGCTCTTCGGCTTGGCCCGCGTCAGTGGGCCCTTACAGAGGCTGCAGCGGCATGGTCCTGCAAGGCTGCCAGAAAACCCCCCCCCCAATGGAGTCGGATCCAGAAAATTTCACTGCGCCGCCGCCGCCAGAGAAAAAACCACCACGACGAGCCAGTCAACAGTCCCCATCATCGACACATTCAACCAAACAGCCACAATGTTCGCCAAACCCCGGCCCAAGAAATCCGTGCTCAGTGCGCCCCCCTCGAAGAAGAGAAAGGCGGTATCGGCGATCGAGGAGGTCAACTTCGATTTCGATGCGCGGGAAGACTACCTCACGGGTTTCCACAAGCGCAAGCTGCAGCGGCAGAAATGGGCACAGGAGCAGGCAGCCTCCAAGGCGCGGGAGGAGAAGATTGAGATGCGCAAACAGGTGAGTGAGGCAACCGCGGCCCTTCCGTCTCCCCTTGCATACGCACACGCATGCTGCTGCCTGCACTTGCTCGTCGCATGTACTGATGGTGTTATCACAGATCAGACAAGAGCGCCAACGAGAAGTCGAAGACCACGTCAATGCCGTGAGCGCTCTACTCAAGGAGGCTCAGGAGGCAGACTCGGATGGGAATCAGGAGATCAACGGATCAGATTTCGAAGAGTGGGACGGCATCGACGAGCCGGCCAAGGATCAGACAGATATTGTGGACTACGAAGACGAGTACATAGACGAGGACCGCTACACATCGGTCAAGGTCGAGGCCATATCCGTGACGCGGGACGGTCTCGAAAAGATCCACCAAGACGGCGACGAGGAAGAGAACGACAGCCAAGACGAATCCAAGGCGGACAAGCAGGCATCTGACCAGCCGGCAAAGTCAAAGAACCGGAAAGAGTGGCCCAAGAAGCAGAAGAAGAAGTTCACCTACGAAACAAAATTAGAAAGGTCACTGGGAGCGAGGAAGGCAAAAGCCAAAAAGGCAAGGTTCAAGAAAGATTAGTTGAAGGAGGGTATAATATCTCGCATTGGTTGCTGCAGCTGCTTGCCCAAGGAGTTGCCTCACGCCCAGCGTGGTCCGAGGTGGTTATGTGTAGATTCCCATGATGTCTGTGTCTGTTGAACAAAGACCAGGGGGGGGCATCTGACAGAACAAAGCTCTTTGTTGGCCGGGGTTACAAAAAAAGGAGTAAAAATAAGGCTGCTATAACTCGGTCGCGAACCGTCCCGTCATTTGCATTCCACCGCTTGTTGGGATAGCTAAGTCAGATCGCCAACACAGTGTCCCAAGCCAGGAGTCTATCATGTAGAAAAGCCTTGCATAAATGACACGCGCAACAAGGACCTTAGATGTTGCCAATCTCGGCCTGGAAGTCCTCGAGCTCCTTCTGGACCGTCGCGTACTTCTTGGCCATCTCCTCGTACTTGGACTCCCACTGGTCGCGCTCCGACTCGAGAGCCTGGACCTTGCGCTCGAAGTGGCCGGCCTTGACGTCGGTCTGTCGGAGCCTGTGAAAAGACGGTGTAAGTAATAAGTAATGCATCGGTCGGTCGTTCGGTGGGGCGGGCTTTAATGAACACGATGGGGGTCGGAGAGTGAAAAGGGGGTATCATCGATTCGGCAAACAGGGTCCAGAACGTACTTCTCGTTGGCTTCCCGAAGGGTCTTGTCCGCCTCCTCGGCCTCCTCCTCGAGGAGCTGGAGTCTGCGCTGGAGAGTCTCGTTTTGTGTGCCGGTGCCAGCGCTCTCGTCGGCAGCCTTCTTGAAGTCCTTAACTGCAGTCTCAAGCTTCTCGACTTCGCCCTCGAGCAGACCGTTCTTGTGCTGCAGGGAGGTGATCTCCTGCTCCTTGGACAGGTTCTCCTGCTCCAGAGACTTGACCTTGGTCTGGAGCTCCTCAACCTTTGCGGCGTTATCGTCGGCCTCCAGACGAAGCTGGTTCATTTTCTGATTGACACCGACGTTGTCAGCATCGATGACACGACACATTGGGGATATCTTACCCCTCCAGACCGCCGGTAGCAGTCGGGTGGAGCCAGAGTCAAAATGGCAAACTTACCTCCTTGATACGGTCCATGATGAATAGCTGCGAGTTGCTTTGACGTTGTAGTAGAGTCGGTGCAGGTTGATTGCGATAAGGAGAGTTGCTGAAGTTGAGGACGGGAACGGGATCGGTGGATGTGGGATCGCAGCTGTCGAGGATGGAAACGGGAGGAAAGGGTGTGAGGTGTTGAAATAACTGCCCCTCTACATGCAAGTCCGCTCCATGCGACCTGTGGCGGACCACCCTCAGCATGCCAGCCAGCAGCCAGACAGGCCTGGTCTTCACACGCTGGAAGGAAGCTGCAATCGGATTAGCTCAGACGCGGGCAGTGGGGTCAGTCAGGTGGGGTTGGGCTGTGGCACGGTGCTTTACTGCTTTCCCACCTAGGTACTGCGGTAGAGCCTAGAGGTGAACTTTGTACGGGGGTTTCCGCAGGGTCTGAGCTTCTTTCGTCGTTGTCCCGACAACAACGCCCCAAACATACGGGTCCGTTTACGATCTCTATCGTCTCTTCAACCCATGACAGACTTCAAAGTGAAGGGATTGATGACGACAATACAGCACCACGCAATTACGATCCAGCACGACCAAAGAAGACGCTGAGTCAACGACAGAATCAACAACCCCTCTGGCTCTATGCAAAATGCTGGCCCTTCGTGACGAGAACGCGGTCAACGCAGCTCAAGCTGCTCGTCTGGCTCCCGGGAAAGGGCAGCTGGCTCCCAAGACCCCTGGAGCCCGGTACCCAAAGACGCCCTTG